TGTGTTGCCTCTGGGGGGGGGGGGGAACCAAGATGGGGTTCATGTCTGGCTACAGATGTTTGATTTGAAATCATATGGCATGGGGAAGAACTGCCCAGTCACTAAGTGGGGTTCTTGGTTAACCCCCGAAACAAGAAATCTGCCACATTTAGTTACCGAGTTGTAACGGACATAGTAACTAAAATGCTGAACTGGCTGTCTACAAAAAAGACTAAAGTTTAGGTCATGTCTGGCTACAGATGTTTGATTTGAAATCATATGGCATGGGGAAGAACTGCCCAGTCACTAAGTGGGGTTCTTGGTTAACCCCCGAAACAAGAAATCTGCCACATTTAGTTACCGAGTTGTAACGGACATAGTAACTAAAATGCTGAACTGGCTGTCTACAAAAAAGACTAAAGTTTAGGAAAGCATGACTCACTCATGTAGTGGGGTGTTTTATTAAATGCACTTTGTCTATAGCTGAAGCTAAATTGACAGTTAGGTATTGTAATTAAGATCAGGGGTGGGTTGCCACTTTTGAGTCGGGGGCAACTGACCCACCAAAAAGTCGCGGACTCCACAGAAGTGAGAAGCAAAAAAAATCAAAAAAACAAAAACCACCCAACCCCAAACAAAACAAAGAAAACCCCTCCCCTTATTCTCCTTGCACACCAGAGTCTAAGAGGTCCGAGGCTAGTAGATTTTGTGCACTCCAGCCCCACAGATATCCAGTGTTCGGGGGGTGGGGAGCCCTGAGCCTCAGGGGCTGGATCCAAACAAGCTGGGGGCTTACGTTCCCCACCCCTGATTTAGCTGATACATAACTAACTCTTCAAGAATGCAGGGAAATTCTAATTCTACCTGAAGCCTGACTCTGTTCGGGGAGCAGTTCTATGCTATCAGCCCTGCCTGGTGAGAGCAGGGATCTCTGGGCATGTTCAGGGAACTTCAGGCATGTTCTGAGCCAGGAGATCATCCCTGTAGTTGGTAGCATGGCCACTCCAGCCTCAATCCTTGGGTCCCACTCTGCCGGCCCAAGGAGCTCCCGGTTTCACATTCTTGCCCCCCAGTGAGCCTCTCTGGTGTTTTAGTGGGTGGGAAAATCTCTCACCCTCCCAACTGTTTCTCTAGGACCTGTTCCTGCTGCATCATTAGTGTGCCCAGCTGAGTGTCCTGCATTCAGTCAGAAAGAGGGAGAAAGGGAACAGAAAGGGAGGCAGATGTGGAATGCGGCCACGTTAACTTTACAAGAGGAAGCTTCATGATTAAATTATTCACAATCATCCTGAACAAAGTTAACATGGATATTGGCAAGGTTTCTATGATGACCTCCCTTAGAGGGAAAATAAAGGGCTAAGAGCTAAGCTGCTTTAAGGATGGACGGGTTCATCAGCTGTGAAACTGAAAGAGACTCATGAACCTTTCTGTTCATGCTGCACAGCCTCCCGCTTGGAATGTGAGCTTACCTTTGGCAGCAGGAACCGATGTAGCATTGTGTAATGTAGTTGGAATTAGCAGGACATCTAAGGTAACATTGTCCCCCAAAGCTTCTACATTTCGCTGGGCTTACCCTCGCCTGGGAGAATCCTGACAAAGAAGAAGAATGTTAATTACTTTCCAGAGACGATGCAACAAGGGTGCCGTTTCAGATGTTGGTGGGGGGTGGGGATGACCTCTGCATGCCATGGGGCTGGGGAAGGAGTGCTGAGGGGAAGAGAGTGAGAGCACGAGGGGAACAGTCTGCGGGCGGAGGCTTCAGCAGTGTTACTGAGCATACTCAGTAAAAGCCAAGCATCCAAAGGGTGGGGGAAACAACCCCATCTGCTCCCCCCCATATCATCTCTATCCAGGGGCTACTAAGGCACTGAAAAACTTTACTTTTTTGGCAAAAAACTTTAAGCTGACAGGAGCACTCTATCTAATTCCTATATAAAAGAGAGAAATTTAAATAAATATTCTACCCATTCAACTCTAACACTAATATATTCTGACTTCCTGTGGCAAGTCACTTAACGGACACTGGTTAGCCACTCCTAGCCATCTAGAAATGCCACTCCTAGCTGCTCCTTGCCCCCCATAACTGGCATCCTTGAGGTGTAACCCACACACTTCTCTGGGTGTGATGCACTGTCCCACCTAGTCACACCAAGGCGACTCATAGAGGCAATAATGAGTCTGCCCTGGAGCCTTAGGGTACGTCTACACTACAGTGCTAATTCGAACTAACTTAGTTTGAATTAGTTAATTCGAACTAAGCTAATTCGAACTAACGCGTCTAGAACCAAAAACTAGTTCGAATTAGCGTTTTGCTAATTCGAACTAGCATGTTTACATTAAGTGGACCCTGAACAAGGCTTAAGGATGGCTGGAAGCAGTGCCGGAAGGGCATCAGAGGAGGACTTAGAGCGTGGAGATGCTGTCTCAGGCTAGCTGAGGGCTGTGCTTAAAGGGTCCCGACCCCCACCCCGGACAGACAGTTCTCAGGGGTGCCCCGCTTGAAAACCAGTCCTGGCTTGGAGTGCCCGGAGTGCCCACACTGGGCACATCACACCACTCGGCCATCAGCCCGGCTGCACTTGCCGCAGGCTGCCATCTGGGGAGAGGGGGCAATTGGGGGACTGCAGGAGAGCTTCCACCCCCAGAAGCCCACAGAGCCAGCCCAGTCCTCCCCATCGGGGGCTCGTGCCCCATTCCTCCCTCACCTCCTTCCACTTACCCTTCCCTAGCCCCTCTTCTTGATGAACAAAATAAAGATAACGTGTCTTCCAAAATGGAATCTGTCTTTATTGAACAAAACTGGGGGAGACTGGGAAAAGGAGGTGGGAGAGGGGAAGAGACCCAGAAGCCCACAGAGCCAGCCCAGTCCTCCCCATCGGGGGCTCGTGCCCCATTCCTCCCTCACCTCCTTCCACTTACCCTTCCCTAGCCCCTCTTCTTGATGAACAAAATAAAGATAACGTGTCTTCCAAAATGGAATCTGTCTTTATTGAACAAAACTGGGGGAGACTGGGAAAAGGAGGTGGGAGAGGGGAAGAGAGAGGCTGGGAGAGGGGAGGGCAACTAAAATGATCAGGGGTTGGGAACAGGTCCCATATGAAGAGAGGCTAAAGAGACTGGGACTTTTCAGCTTAGAAAAGAGGAGACGGAGGGGGGACAGGATAGAGGTCTCTAAAAGCAGGAGTTGGCTGGAGACGGTGCATACAGAAAAGTTCTTCATTAGTTCCCATAAAGAAGGACTAGAGGACACCAAAGGAAAGGAATGGGTAGCAGGCTTCAAACTAGTAACAGAAAGTTGTTCTTCACAAAGCAAAGAGTCAACCTGTGGAACTCCTTGCTGCAGGAGGCTGTGAAGGCTACAACTAGAACAGAGTTTAAAGAGAAGTGAGATAAAGTGATGGAGGTTGGGTCCATGGAGTCCTATTAGCCAGAGGGTAGGAGTGGTGTCCCTGCCCAAAGTTTGTGGAAGGCTGGAAAGGGATGACACGAGACAAGTGGCTTGGTCACTGTCTTTGGTCCATCCCCTCCAGGGTCCCTAGGGTTGGCCGCTGTCGGCAGACAGGCTACTGGACTAGATGGACCTTTGGTCTGACCCAGTACGGCCATTCTAAGCTCAGGGTCGGGGGTCTCAGTGGACC